GATCTGTCAAAAATCGTCTGCGCAATCGAATTGGAGATCAATGGTTGAATGATAGTTTGATTGCATATATTGAGAAAGATGTATTTGACAAGATTGAAAATGGTGTAATTATTGAACGTTATCAAAATATGAGAACACGTAGATAACAATTGTAATAAGATATATTTTACTTTCATTTGTTCGTCACTTTGTGAAAGTTAGATTATGTCTCCCTAGTTTCGAAAGTCTGCATCTGCCCCTACCTTTGAGTACTCTTGATTCAAAAGGATACAGGTATACTGGTGGAAGTGTAGTTCTGAAAGTTAGCAAGAGTGCTTGGGTTGTGTTAAGGGGGCGGAGAAAGTCCTGATTATATGTGTTGGAAGGTTCGGCGATCACGGAGGAAGCAGCTACAGCTTATGGTTTAGTAAGCGGTAACTCGGGTAGAATTGGTTGTGATTGGGTTGTTCGTTGTAATTTGGACAATAATATTGGGAAACCTTCTTGTAGTTCAGGTGTGGTTGGTTGTGATCTTGTTGATCATGTTGCTTATGGTGATTTGAGCAGGTTTGATAGCTCGGGTGGAGTTGAGGTTGCTTGTGGTGGTTCAAGCAGGTTTATTGACTCGACTAGAGCTGGAAATGAACATGATGATTCAAGCAAGGATGGAAAGCAAGGTAGTTCTGCTGGTATGCAGGGCTTGGATGTAGTTCACAATTGATGAGTATGCCCGGAAGGGGTATGATGTGCCTAGCGGGGGCATGGGGTGTTCAGTTGGGACATGGTGGAAGAGTTGGAGAATGACTTGAAGAGTGGAGATTGAATTCATTGTTATGGAATTTTTGTCAAGGTAGAGTTTGTTAGGTTTTGAAAAAAATTCTATGTGATTTAGAAGTTCGTTGCATGAAGGAAGCTTGTTTAATCTTGATTTAAAAGTACGGTTTGATCAGGAATCAAATTTCATGGTATCGGGCTCGGGCGCTGCGGCTCCGAAGCGCCCGGGTCGGCGCCACGTGTTTTTTTCGCGATTTTCCTGTTTTATCCGGATTTTGGGACTTCTTCTTCATCTTGGACTCCACAATTTCGAGATTTAGCTTCTATAAACACTCCACAAGGTATATGTATTTTTTAAAAAAAGGGCAAGACTCAAGAGAAATTATAACAATTAGATCATTCTTGTAAACATTAAGAATAAGAGAGAATTGTTTAGATTAG